CACCTTCGTTGTGATAGCTGGTAGAGACCAAGGTACGACATCTCATAAAAGATGAAGCACGTGAAATGTTACAGTTCAGAGTGGTAATCCGTTCTTATCGGCATGTACTGAACTGATTTGTGGTTCGGTTCAAACCGGTAATACCACTTTTTACTCGATTATTATTCAGGCTACTACCGTACCTTAAATTCAGCACTCATGTTTGCATGTTCATGTTTACATCGTTGCTTTGTTGTAGCTTGAAGCTTAGACAGTAGTGCGGCAGAAACTGGACACAACCGGTCTGGACTAAAAACCAAATTATTGTCAGTCTATGCCTTTATGGACGGATTATCACTCTAAACGATAAAATGTGCTCGTGAGTTGTTATGACAGATGGGCAGGATTATTATGAATCTCAGATAATCGGCTGGTGAGATTCTTTTAATCGTTTTTGACTGTGGTTCCTTATTGTTTTAAAAAACAGTTTGGTGGAGGAAAACCACACCGAATTGCAAATTCGGGCAGAGGAATTAGACGGAACTTTTTCAGTGTTAATTCTTGAGGAGAGCAATATGTCTGATTATTTCATCCTCCCTATGAACAAATGACCTGGTTTGCTCAGTCCGTAGTGCGTCGGACTCAGAAACTAGGTTCCGGGTTTCGAATTCCGGTTGTGTTAATCAGCCTTCTTTCTTTTGAGGGTAATAAATTCGTGCCACGTCTGAAACTACGCACCATGCTTGTCACAGCTTCTGTCGATTCTACCTTTTAATTAAGGCACTCCCAACTGATGGCAGGGAAGAGGAGGTCAGTGTCCCACCATTAACTTCATGAAAACAAGCTCGCTACAAATAGTTTTACCATGACCTAGTGTAAGGAAGACCGATATTCCAGTGGTTACAAAATTTCCTGCCTTCATTTTGACTAAATATATGCAGAAAGCATCCTTTTTGGAATCAGTTCATCACGTACCAAATGAGCGGTTGAAACTACTTTTGCACTCAAGGCTTGGACTGAAGTTGTCGCCCACATCCAAACGTTTCGACGGGCTCCTCCGCAAGGCCTGCCTACCGCAAATATGAATACAACCCATTCTTCATTCTGCATTTACATGCCTTTCTACTGCACACCGTGTCGTGTTAAAGTCTGCTTCCTGGGTTTTGTTTGATGAATAACTGAAATATGTCATGTTTTAGCTAAAAAAATAATAGCCCCATCATGAAAGTATAAGGAAGAGTGACATTTCAACGGTTGCTTTCCTTCCTTGCATTTATGAACAAAGGATTACAACGCACACAAAAGAAAGACGAACAGCGATAGATAAACTGTATTTTAAAATGAACGTAAAATAATACTCTTCTAGTATAGTATGCGGAAAATAAGTAAAAAAGCATTTCCAGAATTTGTATATTCATTGTATGGTCTTTCGTAACAATAAATCGCGATTGTATCTGTACAATTTAATACATTTTTGTACACTAATTATGTAATGATCTACGCATGTTCACTGAAATTCATTTTTCTGTCGGTCTGTCATCGCGCAAATAATAAATGAATATCTCTCTTCTGATTTAACGGTATTGTAACATTCATCCTAGTCGTTCACCGTAAGCCACTGCAACCGGTTTTATGACACACCACTTTTAGGTATTTCATCAAGTTCGGTCATCTACAGCCACACTGTGATTCTTAGTGTATCGGTGGTCCTTCTGATCACTGTGTTGTGCCTTTTAGGTCTGATTTCAATGCTATATATTCGCTGTTGTTTGAGAAAGGCTAAGGAAAAGAGGAAAGCTGTTCCTTGATGCGTTTGTCATCTTTTCCGTGACGCAGCGTGCTTATGTTTACATATTGTTGTTAAACTGTAGACTGTTGTTTATGTTTCGCCAATTCTTTTTCTTAATACAAATTTTGTCATGCAAATTGTTTCTTTTGAAGCTCGCAGTATTGATTCTATGTGACTGTAGATGAACGGTTGTAAATTCGAAAATTATCGCTTCTCCTTTGCTTCTTTAGATTGACGTCCTAATTCTGTAAAGTATAAAGTTTGCTCGTATTTCAGAGTTGTCATAACAGTTTTGAGCAGAGAAGGTCGAAACCAATCAAATAATCAAAAAAATTACGGTAATACTTGTAGTATAAGAAAGTATCAAGCAAAACATTTAATTGAACTGTCTTATCGGATGCCCAGCATTTGGTACTCACAACAGATTTTCAGCGTAGCTGTTTTTAATTCAGTACAGATAAAGGAGGAGTTAAGATTATAGCCGTTGTATGTCGACTTTTTTAAACTTTCATGATTGAGGCCATTTGTTGTGTTCTTCATTCCATGAAACTTATTATGGTGCGACACTGACCTCCGTTTCTGTGCCATCTTCCATCTGTATTTTATTTATTTAAAAGCAGACATTACAGTTGTGTAGCATGCAAACTGTGTAGTCACCTATTTTCTTCCCATATGGTAGTACTCGTATATGAGTCTTTGAACTCAGAACTTGTCGCTTGGTTTTAACTCTCATGCTCTACAGACTGAGCAGCCAAGGCGTATAGCAACATCTGTGCAGAAGCCTATAAATATTCAATGGTATCATGCCTCTTCACCTATTCTGGGTTCCCGATCGTCTCCAATTTCAGCACCGTGAAAAGTATGCATGTTTGGGGGATAAAGCCAAGCGGTTTCACAATATATGTTCGTTGATGAACAACCAAGACTTCTTGCCTAAACCTTTCGTCAGCTGTACCTGAATTGCGTCATCAAGAACCATCGCAGAGAAATAGCCTGTCACTCTTCGGTACAACAGTAAACGATTGATTGTCATGAGTAGTAGATATAGCTGACTAATTTCTATCGAGCTGAAGAACGATTCGTCCGTCTACTTTCTCGTATCTTTGTTCTTTCTGAGTTTGGTTAGGGAAAAGCGGTTTCCGCAAGATCAGCGTTTCTTTCGGTCCCCCTCCATTGGAATTCTAGCTTGGCGTAACTCATTAACCCTCAGGTTGTACCTGGCTGGAGCATAGAAACTGGTTCTTGTTAAGGTCTCTGACATCACACTGACTGAGTAAAGACCAGAGGTGCTATAAATATCATTATGCCTATAATTGTATTATGGTTTATCCTTAGCAGTCATCTTACGGCTTCGTTCGTCCGCGGATAATTAGTGTAGGCTTTCGAACCGTAGGTATAGGTTTCTTTTGAGCATTATGCTATATTCTCTAGCTCATATTCGTGAGTGACCGATAGCTGCTTTTTTCATGTTTTCTGTGTATAAGAAGCCGCTGCCTGTTAATGGAGACCGCAATTTGAGAATAACTCAAACCTTGGGATGGACGTTGCGAGATCTGAGATAGAACCGGCAACGGTAACCAACTTCAACTTCAACATCCGCTGGAACCTGACCTGTTTTTACCAGGTTCGGCATCGTTTGAACTGTTTTTTTTCTCGAAAACAGGGTATTCATGTTTAACGACGTACAGCTGAACAGGAACAGTTGGTTTTATGCAAACAAAACAACAAACAAGACAGTATAGAACAACAAACAGCTTTTAGTTCGGCAGTACGATTCAAGCATAACGATAAGATTCGGCTGCATGACAGATCGACACGACGACTGTCACAGAAGATTCATCCACACGGTAAACTGATAGGTGGCATCGGTCATAGGCTGAAATATCCTCCTGGAGGGTGAACGCCCTTCGGCACGTTGCCGGTGCTCAAAAAGTACAGAAGTTCTGCCTCGGAATTTACAACCAGTAGATCTTTGGTAATGTTGTAAATTTTTCCCGTTGAAGGCGAGCCATTAGTCAATGATCCTATGGACGTTGAGTAGTCAGGTAACTTCTGACAGCCGTCTACCATAGGACATTTAGGCTAAACATGTAAATGTGCGTTAACGAATGATAATATTGTACGTACTGATAAAAAACAACTGATAGTAAAACGTACACGTCTACAGGGCGTCTTTTCGCACACTTGAGTCTCGCACGAGTAGCGCACCTTGCTTGTGGATGTGTAGCGGAAAGCCTCCATCGTAATCTGCGCTCCGAATTCGACTCTCTTTGGGGCACACACCAAGCCGACGCCATCTGCTGGACATCTGTTAAGCGTAAACATGTTGCACGCCATCAGAAATTGTGAACTTTTCAAAATCACACCCTTCCTGAATTATTTGCAGGGGATCCCGTTCCCAGGTATGCGGCGAATCAACGGGTTCTATCCGGCAATTCAGCACCACAAGATCGCTTCCTAAAATCAAAAAATTTCATACTAGTCATTCATACGAGCCATGTCTCAGCAGATGGAATTATCGCTTGAATATGTGACTTATGTTGACTCTCACAAATATGACAAGCAAGCAGCATTCCTGATGGTTAATTAGCATAGAGTTTTGATAATATACCTTATAAACCATCATATTAATCACTGTGGTGAGTGCCATCCAGCATTCAGAGAGATAATGACCGAGTTCGGGCAAATTTACTGCATTTGTTTCCCAATTCTTGACCACTGGGAGATGGATAGCATGTTCTTAATGTCATCGCCAGGCTTTGTCGATATGTTCTACTTTTCTTGCTCGAGTCATAATTCTCTGTTCTCTTGAGTGAAGGCATGGTTAAAGTATTATAGCATGCTTGCTTGATTATTGACATGGACGGTAACCCTAATCTTTCCGTCAGGGTGTGTAATATAAACGTCCAGATCACGGTACTAATAATCCTGTTAGCAATAATTTAGTAAATAATTTTTTATAAACCAAGTGTGCAGGAAAGTACATGAATGTGACTTACCGGTCGAAGGAGGTTCAACTCGAAAGTCTAGGGTCACTTTGCTACCAATGACCACGGCAGTAATCGGCTGTCCATTGTTCAGTATGTCGAACTTGACAGCGAGACTGACGGCGGAAGCAGTCGAAGTACGCATCGCTTCTGATGACGTTGGTGACGTGGAAGTCCATTTCGTGAGGCGACTGGTGGTTGGTTTGGTGGACGTGCTGGATGAAATTGAAGTTGATTTCTCCGTGGTATACTTAGGCACTTTGTACGTAGAGGCAGTCGTGCGCCGGACCACGGTCGTATCGATCCGTTGAGTGACGGTGGTTTTCGGCTGTTCCGGTAAAATCCTACCACTGCCTTTGCTTGTCAGAGTAACATCCTCTCGAAACGTCAGACTTCCTTTTTTCAAAGCTTCAGGATATTGCACAGACGATGCCTCATGAGTTGGTTCCGCTACTCTTCTGCCAGATGTATTCTCGGATGAGGTTGAAGAAGCAGCTGTCACAGACTTATGCATATCTTCCACCGATAAATGTTCAGACTTCACTCGCGCTACTGAGGGCATAGCCTTTTCGGTAACCGTTTTGATTGCAGGTGATGAAATATGCGTGCTATAATCAGAAGGTGTATTTTCTTTATTAGGCAACGTATGATTAATGTTTTAAGCATATGCCAGAACGGATCCTACGAACTGCTCTAAAGTCAACAGAAGTTCCTTCTCTGGTCAACGGGGACTGCTGAATTCTTGGTTTAAATTATCAAAATCTAATGATCTTGCTGAGATACAGCTGGTGAGAACCTAATCCTCCTATTCACCGTATGTCGAAGCAGTAGGCAAGGGATTATATTTATGTTCTTGCTATTCTACAGAGTATTTATACCTTTGACTGGCAAATCTCTAGGATGCGACAGCCCTCTTATCCACGTTGCAGGTTAATTAATAATTTTGTTTATTCTACCGATAGATAAAGTGGCACTGTAATTTACGAGACTTTTACTTGAACATGGTTTGCTCCGTATTGACGGTGGAGACAGTGGAAGATGGCAAAATATCAACGGCTGCATTAACTGTGGCCGTTCCAACAGAGGGGTCAGTGTTGCCTTCGTGTTTTGGGCACTTCGCATGATAAACGATATCCTAGAATATGACATAAATGATTATACGACATGTTGTATGTGAACAATTTCCATACCCTCTCCGTGATGTAGTACAATGGCTTAACGCCGCCGCTGGACACAACGACTTCAGCAATGTAGTTGTCTCCCTTCAAGGGTAAGATTAGTAAGCAGCGGCTGGTCGGCTGTAAATATAAACCTGTGTGCGAATGCTGTCAGAGCAGTTGTTCGACTTTGGACTGTACGGCATAAATATGGAGAAGAACATTTGATGATTCGGCTCGATTTTGCAGCCGACGAAGTCGTACAAGCCATACATTGCTCCGGAATACGGAATCTTCGATTCGGCTGAAACCAAGATACCGTCTTGCAGACATTTGTGCCTCATTTCAATGCCACCTGAAAGTACAGTCATGAATTCTATGAGTGAAGCATAAAAACAAAATATACCTCGATAGACTTATTTGCAAGAACTGAGTTTGTCATGAGGTTCTTTCAGACAGTAGGCTTTCACACCAAGAATCTAACTATGACAGGAATAGGTCCTGTTTTCTAAGCCGTTTGTGGGCTTTGTAGGCAGTAGTTCGCTTTGTAGGTGGATAATGTCTGAGTATTAGTTATTTCTAGCTTGTTGTATGAAAGTCGTTGTCAGAAAAAGACGGTTGTATGAACACGTTCAACGGATTCAGACAGCTTTCCACCGATAGCGGAGTACGGTAAGGGTCGGTCACCGGACCTGTGTTATTCAGCTATTGCGGTGATGCCACAGTGACAGAGGCAATAGTTAAAGTGACACTCCTATCATCAGGACACCGGTTATAAGATGTGGATGATGCTTACGACGTTCCGGTCATTGCAGAGAGCAGACTGAGACTGAAACCATCGAAATACAAAGTTCAAGGTATACCCCAGAAATTGTCAACATGAAAATTTACGGGAAATATGTGCAGTACGTCACCAATTTCTGCTATTTTGGACCGAAGATCGCTAGTGGTGGAAGCTGTGAAGCTGATGTCCAGGAAAGAATCAGGAAGGCTCGAATTGCATCTAACATGCTGCAGCAAAATCTGTGCAAAGCTGCTGTCGGCACCGGTGAAAGTTTGAGTATATCTGACGGCTATTCAACCAGTACTGAAGTATGCCACAGCTACGTGGACCCTCACCTAGAAGGAAGCGAATGCGCTGGGCGTGTCGGCGCAGAATACTCGACTATTCCGAATCTTATCAATAGGAATTCATAAGATCACGAATCTACTATTACTGTAGGAGGTTATAATAAATACAAATCAATTTAGACAGGCAGAGAATAATATCAACTCTCGTTGTATCGAATGAAGAGAAATATCGTTTTTCGGCCACGTACTGCGACATGACGACAAACCGGCTGTTCGTCAATCATGATTCGTCGAGTGCTGAACCGATCCGCGAAAAGACCGAGAGGCAGAGAGATAACTTCATGGCCGGATATCACAGACGAACTGTGAGATACGTACATGGGCCGCACTTACCTACAGATTGGGAGCCAAACATGGTGCTGATTGGCTTGCAATCATATCCGGCGTTACTCAAGACAGAACACAGTGGTGAATGGTAACAAGGATTGTGGTGATACTGTAACCCATTTCGAAATCCAGTAAGTGAATTGTATGAAAGAAATACACTGTCACCAACCTATTTTCAATTTTTCACATTTTTCCCACTTGGACAGTGATTCCTTGGTTGGCAAGACTGTTGTTTCAAACTTCCTGAAACCTGGGTTCCCAGAACCCCGTAGGAGCAGTGAACTGTGGAAGAGTAGGTTTTTTTGCATGATCTGATTTCAAGGCTACCTCATTGACCAAATACGCAAAATGAGTCAACTGATTTTATATGAAATCTATCATTTTCTTTATCAACAGGTTTGAACATGATCATTCTGAAATTCATTTCAATTTTGTCTGTAATAAAATGCCATTTCACTGGTTCTAGACGCCTGGAAGTAGAGTGATTACATTCATTTCTATGAAATCAATTATGTGAAATGCTTCACTTCACAACCATGATTACGTTTAATAAATTTTTCACTAGACTCGAAAAGACAGACAGATCCGTGTCTTAATTATTACTGTTGACTTTTAAGCCAAATAAATTGGCCATCATCAGTTTACCAAATGGTTATTTTGCCAGACAATGGCCACTGTACATAAACGTCATGCTGAAGACTGCTTTCTGTCTGTATCCTTGAATCTGCAGTCATTGCAGTGACAATTATTAAACATAATCATGGTTGCCAAATGAAGTACTTAATATTATTAATTTCCTATACATGGCTTTAAAATCGACTGATTTTTTTAATAGCGACTTTATCAAGACGTGGTTACGGACTATAGCATTGTAACTGTTAAAACCAACCTTCACAAACGTTCTCGTAATAGTCAATGCGGAAATTTGGGTCCGAATTGACTTTGACCATTTCGGGCTGACTTTCTTTGGTTTGTATGCTCAGTCGGCAGAGGCTGCTTGTCCGGTTGTAAGTCAGAGAACGGCACTTGAACGCCCGTTCATCCAGACACCTGTCGATGCATTCTTCCAGGGGTACGGTCAAATCGCGGTTGATCTGACTGGAATCCATGTATCGGTCGATGTAAAATTCAAATTGGCTTGGCAGCTTGCAAATGTTCTTGCCTAAACACATCCATACATTATCGTACAAGTTTCCCTTGCGTATCAACTGACGATCCTCAAGCATCATTTATCATTCTTAACGCTTAAATACTTGCCTACAGCAAATTCAGTGTTCCCGTAGCCACAAAGCTTGATTGTTAAAATAGGATTATAACCTTTACAAATATAACTACAGCAAATTATTAAGACAGAACATAATCGTAGAGTGCTGAAAGTGGAAAATGTATAAACTGTTTATTTATGCACAACGCAAGCAAACTGTTCAATTGGGCGATTGAACCAGACCAGTGATTCGCCTCGTCTCTTAAGAGTCTGATTGGACGACATGATCACTTGTCAGATTGAGGTCACTGATCTTAATTAGAGAAAGAAACCGGTCAGATTGCACGGGCATCACTGGAGAAAGAAACTGGCTGAGCAGACGAATCAAACAGGCTTTAGTTATCTAATCCTGCGGAAATGTCTTCCGGGAGAAAAGGCACAAACTGTGCATGGATTGGACACACCTTAGGATGCCCGTTATCGAAAAACTACTTAATTTTCGGCATGGGTTAAAAGCACGCATTGGGATATGAAATTCACGTGCTGTGGACCACAGAACGAACTACCGAAATCAACCTGATCATCCTGAAGAAAACCGTGAGAGACTAGTCGAAAGGTCAGTGCTGGTCAATCGCCCGATCTGCAAGTTTGTTTTTGTTTTGTATAACATAACCGTTTTTTGCGTTTCAGTTTGACGAAAGAAACATTCAATGACCATAAAGTTGTTTTTTAAAATCAATAACAAATTCAAAGCGTGTAGCGCAACAAAAGCATTATCATATGATGGATGACTATATATCATTATTTTATCTTTTTCATAATGAGCTTGTTACCTTTTTTAAATTTAAACTTACGTTTGCTCTTTGTTCCGATTTTCACTTATCTACCAGGTGGGTCAAGACAAATTGCAGCGGAAAGGCGCACCCGTCAAACAGCATGGCCGTATACCACGCCAGAACATGATGCTGTCTCTATTAATCGCAGATCAGTGGTTTGCTATTTGTTCCTCGCCTGGTTGTTCTGTAGCACAGGCAGGGGGGTGAATTATTTGCTAAATACAGCTAGCAATTGCAACGGCAACGAGAAGATTTACGACTCATGTGGTCCAGCGTCTATCAAGTGTGAAGCAAGCTACTAGGCCACTCCGCAAATGCCCGCTTGCTTCACAATATACCAAAAGTTTATGATATTTGCACTGCCGCAGGCTGTGACGAATGTCTGCGATCAGAGTGGTGTATCTGCGTTATGATCAGTGGTTGTATTGCGTGTTTGTTAGCTTATAACCAGCGTTCCATTAGACGCCATTCCGTCTTTGAAAGAATGACGACTTCGATATGCAAGTCTAAATGCCGGATGTCCTAGGTGTTGAATGCACACCAGACGAATGAACATATTTTTTCATATTTTCTTCATATCAGATCTTTCGCCCTTTTAGTTCTTGATCCGTTGTCCTCTTTTCAGAGCACTTGCACAACAGTGACGATGTTTTGTAAGTGCTTCAGTACTGTCATAGCAACGTTAACAGATTGGCCAATGGCGTTACACATTGAATACAGCGCCCGACAGCAGTTTCTATGCATGATTTATCAGTATTTATTTTATGTGGTGATTAATTGAAAATGATCATGGCATTTTGCTTTCATACGGTAGTCCAAGAACACAGTGGGATAATCTAAGACTTGTCCAGCGGTGGAAGCAAAAAGCTGAATGTACAGAATGCTACAGGGGCGTTGACTTTCGATTATGGCACACCCATAACGAGAACAAGTCAGATAGCAGATTATGCCTTGTGCCTTCTTATACACACAGGAATCGTTAAAATATGAATTATGACAGTTCTGGGATGAAAGGAAAGGATGAAAAGTGAAAACCTGATTACTTTTCACGCAGTATTTCCGGAAGAACGAATACCGGCTATCTGCTTCGACGTACCAGTCCAAGTTTTCCATTTGTTCGTCATCGAAGTATTCACAGAGATTTGCCATTTCATTGGCTCCTTTTTTGAAGTTGAAGCCCGCACATGGTAATGAAGCGGTCTTTATCACAGTATGCTCCTCGTCAGAGCAGTGCTTTCGGCAGTAGGTCAGTCCGTACGGCCCGGACAGCCTTGGACTGGTGCCGATCTTCACCCCTGTCCATCGAACGTAAATTGGCTGACAGTCTTTTCGAAGAACTAGACAGAAGATTGAATGAACAAAACAGAACAAACCACGTTGAATACAACGTACCTGCTGTGCACGTGACTACGACGGAAAAGAGCAATACACTTTGAAACTGCATGGAAGACACTGTTCGAAGTTCTTATTGCTATTCTAAAAATGCAAGGTCAAAAATTTCTAGCTGTAAACGACGTTGAACTTAAACAGTTCAGTTCATTGATATGAGTGCACACCGCTGGCTTTATGTGTCGTTAACTTTTTGAGGTTAAGCGTAAGTTCTCCGTTCTATATGAAACGGAAAAACTTTTGGATCCAAAAAACATAAATCCTCACTGAGAAAAAATTGTAGATTATCGGTGCAAAACACCTAATGCAGCGCTTTATATCCTGCACAGTAAACGATGATAACATCAGCCGGAATACGACTACGTCTGTCTGGGACAGCTGATCTGATCTGTGCGATGGTAGCCGACGCTGCGAAATCCGTGGAAAAAATGAAAATGGCATTGAGCACGTTTGCTAGATGCTTGAAATCGTTCTTGTCCCGGCGACTGCCTTTGTGTTTGAAACTGGAGGTCGTCTGTTAGTTTGTACATTACTGTAAGGGTATGGATGCGAAACGTGAATCCTAAGTGCAGATTGCAGAATCCAGCATAGAAAGTGTACGATGGAAATAATAAATCTAAATGGGACAAAAAATGAACGGTTAAGGACACAAGCTTGAGTCAGTGCAAAAACGAAGATACCGAAATGACAATGGACGGGAAATGCTGGAAGAAGAACCTTCTGTCGCTAGACTGAAAGTGATTCTAAACTGAACTCCAAGAGAGATTCCATGGCCCGTAGGAAGTCCTGCAGATGCAGGGCAAGATGAACCGAAGAATTATCAAAACGGACAAAGACCACAGAAAACATAAGTTTATAGAAAAGTCTTGGAGGCCATCGTCCAGCAGTGATTCGAACAAAATTGCTGACTACGACATCTTCAATGCGTAACTCTATTTTGAGGAAAAGCCGTGCGACGAGCTGCTTTTCTTATATTCCTTATAAACATTGTTTTTAATTTCTA